CCTGCTGTTTTTTTCCCCATGCAGCGTTAAGTGAGCGTTAATTCAGCTGGTTGTACTACTTTCAATAGAGGCACACCAGAACAACAGGAAGCTGGCTTTCTACTTCACTATTACTGCGATTCCATTAACTCAGAGTTCACTATATACATTGGCTCTGCCTCACTCTGAATATACCAATACTGTACTAGAAATCTTCGTCAAACACAGCAGAATGACTCAAAGACATTCTGGAGCGCGTTGCAAGTACATTTGAGAAATGCGTGTAAGTAACACCTCTAGGCTAAAAATAATCTAGTTTATTATTCTATTATTAAGATACATACAGAGCTTCTTGTTAATGTGCTTACTTCACACGTTACCATTAAAGCATTACTACTGTATTAGAGTTTTACGACTCAAATCCTTTTCAGAATATGACTTTATTTTTATTTACAGGTGCTGAACAAACAATGAGGCTATGGAAAAAATATTTTTTTAGTATTATTTCCTGTGACTCAGCACTTCTGTTGCTATAACCTATTTAGAACAAACATGTAGGAGGCAGCCAACTGTAAGATGTTTTCATGACCTTGTTTCTTCATCTCTTTTTGATAATTAACATTAACTACATTTCTTAGTATTGAGTCAACAGTCCAGAAAAGAAAATCATCAGAAGTTCTTCCCCTGCTTCCATATCCCACATTTACTTCAGGGTAGTGAGAAATGAACAACTAATTCCCCTAGAACAAATCTCCTTCCTATGACCCTAGATAAGGAGAATTTCCTTTCCAGTGTCTTTGTCACTAGTGCTGTATGAAAGATATCAAGAAACCTTACTAGAGGCAATAAGTGTAAGGAGAGGGACAAGGTAAAAAGCCTAACATAGCTTGCTAAACCAAATCAGCTCAACCAGTTCCAGAAATCATCCAAGAACAGGTCCTGTAAAGGTCATTAATAATACAGTCTGCTGTCCTTAGCATAAGGCAACAGCAGTCACAACTTCAGATATTCTCTAGTTAACAGTTTTCCTGTTCCTGAACGGTTAAAAAGAAAAAAATCTACTGTAAGATTCTGAACAGGGTCCAGATTTTACTCTTCACTCTTAGAATGGCAGAAAGGAACGTTTGATACAAGCAATGTTTGAGTCGCTTAACAAGAGCTTATGAGAGCATCCCGGACACCTGCTTTAGCTGTGCACTGGTCAACTTTTTATGTCTGAAAATCAAAATAGCAAAGTCTGCTTTCTGCAATGACTAGTGAAGAAGGTTCTAGTTTATCTGACGACTTCCATTCAGGGATTTACTGGGAATACAAGGGTTTAAATTCCTCATATTAGTTGTACTCAAAGTGGCATGGCTGCACAGCTCATCCTTTAGATCAAGTTTTCCACCACTACAAAAGCCCCGGGGGGGGGGGGGTTTAGATTCTCCTTCAGAAAGTTGGGATACACAACTCAGAATTCAGCTTCAGATTCTACTAAGAATAAAGCTATCTTTGTTCGTATCCCAGGCTGGTGGCCCCTTTCCCAATAGTTAAGATTTGTGACAAAACAGAAATCAGTGGATGCAACTTATTTCAATATAGCAATTTGGTGTTCAAAGATAAAGAGTTCTGAAATATGGGAAATTTGTGAGAGGTGATTTTTTAACTCACACAAGCCTGTTTGATAGTTGTCTTCAATCCCCTCAAATTAGTTGATTAAATTCCACGAAGAAATATTTGATAACCATTCCAACTTGTGGTGAATTACTTGAAGGAGATCAGCATCTGTCTACAGACCTTTGCTCTAAGGTTTACGCAAGGATTTTCTGCTTCAGCTGTACAATTTCTGTTTCAGCTTGTACAATTCAACTTAGCAATAGATCAGTGTAATCACCTGATCATTTACAATGCACCTCACACTGAGTTAAGTTTCTTTTCCTAACTGTGTTTAAAGCAGTGTTTTAATGTTTTCATGAAATTATTTAGCTTGCCAATATAGTCTTCCTACACCTATTCAGAAAACCTTTACCTAAGAACAGTGGCCAAAGGCAGTCTATTTAGTCCTTAGAAACGCACATCACTTTTTCGAAGTCTCATACTTAACTGCATAAGCAGCAATACTGAAGTCAGCAAAATGGATGCCTGAAGAAATAAGGCTGGCCAGAACTTAGAAAGATCACATCAAGATTCACTGTCAGGAAATACACTTTAGTGCAAACAGCTGCAAAGCAACTGCACCCCACATACATAAAACGGTATGGTTTGGATTTTAAGAGCCTCTACCTTTCAAAGTCAATTTTTAAGGGATGGAGGGAAAGCGTTCTCCTATCTTTCAGAGAACGTGCCTTAAGTTTGTAGTTTTATACTTGGATGAATTCAAGTCTCAGAGCAACAAAACTCTCTGGAAAGCGGTCTAAATAAGTCAATCAGATGATAGAGTCTAATGTTCTAGCTTAGAACATAAGATCTCTTCTAATGTTACATTAAGGGCTGTTAGGAAAATCTTTAGTCAGGTTCGCTGACTTGTGGGTAAAATTACTCTCAGCTTCAGCAGAACTGTTGACTTCATTGTCCCCTAGGCTGTCTGGCCTATTAGAAAATAATTTGACAAAGCAGTAGTACAGAATCAAGATGACAGATTATAGACTTTTTCTGCAGCTGCTCTGTCCTTATCTTCAGCATAAAATACTGCAACTTCTTCCTAACTCTCCATTCTTTTCAAGAAAGCACCAAGAGAATTGAGTCAACATAATGGCTTGATGCTCCAGAACTACTATACATAGTTAAGCTGTCTTGAAATAGAGCAAATTACATTAAGACAAACTATTCATTCTTATGCAGTAGAAAAAACCTCCTCCCACTTGCAATATTCTCTTAACAGAATGAACCAATTACAAAAACTGAAATTAAACATGATTAAAAATGGTGTGGCACTTATCATATAAGAATATAGGCTTACCCTGTGTTCTTATTTACCATTTCATCTCTTGCACATAGATTGCCCAAGCAATGGCTGTCAGCTTGCTGCTGCTTTTGACTCAAGGAGGTAGCTACCTTTCAAAATTGCCAAATTATTGGAAAAATATCTTGAGAACCTTTGGAATAGAACTGCTTTATGAAACTACAATATTGCTCAGAGGAAAGAAAACAGGGATCTGATTTCTGGAGAAGAACGATGGGGGAAGGCACAAGGTCCTCTTGTGATTAGCTGCCCCTGCTCCCTTTATTTTACTTATACAAAACAGATTTTTAGTTTAAACAGTCAGAGTCAGGGAAATAAAAATAGGGAGGGATGTGGAACATGCATTTGTGCAAATTAAAATTCAAATCAGTTATGAATTTTGAAAAAAACTTCACCCCAAGGTAAACAATTACCATGCAAAGAATCTGAGTAGTTTTGTTATAAAGCTCAGATTCTTAAAAACGGTCGTTACTCTGTTTCACTGTGACAAGAATAGTCACGTACAGCAATGCTATTTATTGTCAGCTTCCCACCGATGTCTCACACCTAGAAAAGTGGCAAACAAGCCACTTTGTTTTAAAAAGGAACCAGACAGGGTAACAGCTAGACAGTGCTTTGAGTTTTCTAGCTCTTTTTTTGATCCAAATACCTTGGTTCTTATTTCAACAACTGTGCTACAAATAGCTAAAAGCAGAGAGTTGAAACTGTGTTAACCGATACCTGAGCACTTTGCATAAGGCAGTATACCTAGATATTCAATATATTCCATAACTAAAACAGTCTCTGAATACCAAAAATACTGTAACATTTGTCCATCTACAACTCATATAGACTATTATTAACAATATCAACCCTGTCGCAAGTTATAAAAAAATAGATATTCTCAGTTAATTAAAAAGTTCCTTTTATGGCATACTGCACCTTTAAGCATAACACCTCTTTTATACACAAGCAACGCTTCCAAATAGAATAGGGACTTAGGGAGGGACCACAAACTTGTTATAACAGGAGGAAAAATGCAAACAGTATTTTGTCACCCACTTTTCTTATGTCCTTTGTACTGTTGTGACTTAGCTTTTTTCTTCTGTTTTGATGAACTTGACTGGCTATCTCTTGACGCTGCGCAAAATTAAGAATGCAGAATTAAAGCTTAGTATTTCGGAAAAATACTTCAGGCACGTCAAAGCTACTACACAGGACAGAACATCTCCCTAATGACTGAACGAAGGGGGAAGAATACCTTTATTGAGGAAAATTCCTATTAAACTACAATCACGCTAACAGGTCCTGAAATACTAATACCTATTCTCATATATCTTGACCTGACAGGCCAAGTCTTGATGCACTAAACATAAGCCTTCTTTTCACATAAATAACTGTGCACATGAATAACTATGCGCATGCTGAGTTCTGTCAAACTCAGCGTGTAAAGCATATACATCTGTAATCTTAAAACAATATAAATTCCTAATGATATTAACCAGAACTGATGAGTAAATAACAGGCTTTTTCCTGGGACAAATGAACATCCTTCGGCAATAAAAACACAAAAAGGTTAAGTAGGCACAGAACTGCCCAGAAGTACTTTTAACAGTCAAGGTGGCAGGGGTTAGAACTATGTACTTCTAAGCAATAGCAAGCAATCTGCTCTCTTTTTGTTATGCCTGATGACCTAAATTGCAAAGGATGAAGTTAGACAAGTCACAGGATCAATAAGCAACTGCTATACTATTTATAAAAACAAAACTTACATTGTGGCGCTGGAGGCTGTAGTTGATACCCAGTTAGCTGACACCATCCCACTGGATAGAGGTCTGGAGACTCGCAATCCACCCACTGATCGTATTCATCTTCCCACCCATCAAAGTGTATCCTCAACAGGCGATGGATAATGCGAGTTACTGTGGCCACGCATACCAGTCGAGGTTCCATCAGATCAACAGCCTCCAATTTCATTCCAACATTAAACCCATGGTTTGGAACTTCCTGGAAAAGTGAACACATCAACAAGGTAGACATCAGGAAACAAATACGTTACTTAAAACTGTTTAAGCACAGTGTTGAAGGGAACGTTTCAGTCAGTTTAATGTAGGGAAATATCAGGTGTCATTTATGAAGTTTCACGTACCCCCTTTTCTCTTTGACACTTCAGAAATATAAAAACTCAATACACCCAAATGCTTCCAATTTTTAAAAGACTCTGTTGTCTTAGTTCTTTCAAAACTGTACACAAAGAAACGGGTCAATCCCACAAAGTACACAGAGAGAACTTTAAAGAAAATACTAAGTACATTCTAACTACACATGTGCAATGTCTATTACCTTATTGAAGAGCTTTACAGGTGCTGCTATTGAGTCAGTTTCCCTGAGGTAGTCAAACCATTTGAAAGGGAGTTTTGCATAACCTGTGAATTTTAAACAACATTTTCATACATCAGCTGCAGACTTTATTAATAAAAACAACAAGAACAGTAAATTGGCACTGTGCTACTGCTAAAAAGACAACAAAGAAACGAAATATTAACATCAGAAACTTTGACTCTCTGAGCTTTGGTCTAAGGTACAAGACAGTTCACTGGACACAGCCCGTTTGCAACAAACAAGATGAATGAACTTCTAGACAATACGAAAAGTGTAATTTAACGTTAAGATTAATTGTCCATGCTTGAAGTTTTCTGTCCACGTGGATTCTTGATCTCTACAATGCCCCACAGAAATCACCCAGAACAGATCATGTAATTAAGCACATCCAGCATCTTTCCTGTGGGGAAAGAGCTCCACTATTGAAAAATTTGATTTGTGAGGAACAGACTGGTAAGAACAGGCATGGATATTTTCAAACTTAAATAATAAGGCCAAAACCAGCAATAATAGGGTAACTTACAGAATTTTTTCAATTTCAAAACCTATTATAAAGACAAAAAATAACCTCTCTCAAATATATTTAGCTTTTGCTTTCTACTGAATTTGTAAAAAAGATGTAGGACTATATTTTAGTTTTGGTGACTTTTACAGCAGCTTAGACTAGCAATTTTTAAACTCTAGCTCATGGACCAAAAACAGCTTGAAAGGTTTCTTTGTGATAGTACACAGTGTTAAGATATTTTTTAAAAATCACAGCGTTGCAGACATGGCACAGGGAACTATGGGAAACACTTGGATCTCATCTAAGTGGGGGTACAGAGCTCCCACTGAATTACAGCTCAGTACTGCAGGGCAAGACTCTTCAGATAAGCAGTTAAATATCCATAGCCCAAAAGGCAATCAAATTCTTGAAAGTTTCTAAGCATCAACTTCCGTTGATTTTAGCAAGCGCTCAGGATGTTTGGAAGGAAGGAGCCTATAAGCACAAAGTCAAATGATTTCACAATAACATATTTAAGCTATCCATATTGCTAAATGTAATTTGGAAAAGGTGTCCACAATTAGGCATGCAATATCTGCAGGAACAGATGTAGCTGGATGGCTAACAATTGATAAGGATAATAATAATTAGTTTTGCATATTAATGATTTTCTTCTTGTTAATGTATAGTTTCTCTGCTGAGACCAATTCATTTGTACACAAGCCCCTTAATTAACTTCTCAGAGCTAATGGGCACGTGGTCCTAGCTACAGTAATCAGAAGCAAGAAATTGTCCGCTTTCAATTCCATAATTTAATCAGTAGAATACACTGCTCAAGAGCTAAGGAGCTTTGATCATTATATCCTACTATATGAGAAATAAAACGTTTAAGTATGTTCACGTGTATTATGTTCTGTATTTTACTGCTGTTAATCCCTCATTCAAATGACTTTTAGATTATTGCATGTGATTTATAATCGTCTCTCAGTGGATGATACAGGACTGTTATGGAAAACTGCAATAGAAGGGAAAATATATATGCAGATAAAAAAACAAAGCTGCCACGATACAAGAAAAGCAGTAGCATAATAAATGTGTTAACAGTAAAATTTGAATACTACTGTATAAATACTGTTTGAAGAGTAAAATGGAGAGGTTGCATTATAGAACAGAACTTGTTTTCTATTCCTTTTCATCAATTTAATGTATTTATTTCTAAACTAGTGGGTATTGATATGCATTTTCTTTACCCCCTACAATTACTACTATTGTTAGAGACTCTTGGACCACATATTTTTGGACAGGTGAGCAGGTTTAGCGAAAAAAAAAACACTCTTCATGCTCCTGGCAATGAGATCATGCCCATGAATTTCTAGGCAATAAATTCACTAAATGAGCTGACTGAAAAATAACAGTAAATCTGTCCAACTGCAGACTTTCCACATACTCAAAGACGACAGATTCATTAGTGCATGCTAATGAAAACGCTATGAAATTATTTTCTTTGTCTTGAGCTACACTGTCTGTGTAGCTATTACCCAGAAAATCATTCAACAAATAAAAGTGGAAGCCTGCAAGAATAAGAATGGAGAAAAAAATCCATAGAAAACCATTATTATCTGCTGTCACACAACTAAGAACAATGCTCTTTATAAATTGCTAGACCAGGATATAAAGTAGAAAGATGAAGGCAAAAAGAGTCCTCTGTAGGCATACGTGCTAGTAGACAGACAGCTTTTCTGGCAGAAGGGATTACGTGGTGCATACATCTAAGGAGACTTCCATAAAGCTCAAGTTTGTGCATATCTTTCAATAAATTAACTGTTATTGTTATGAGTTAGCCCAAGTCTGACACTCTTAAGTGTTCCTTAAACCTCTGCTGGCCAGAACTTCCCAAGCACTGACATATTTTGAACAGTCCTTTCAGTGACTTGCATATTTGTACTTCCTATTCACTCATTGGCTACACTACTCAACTTACGGCTGTCCTCCCAAATTCTGATAGCAAAAGTAAATTATTTTAGCCAGTGAACGAATCAGATGTTCAGTTTGTCTTTTTCCAGATGAAAAAGTTTGGTAACTCCTTTTTAGATTACTTTGAAGTTATTTGTTTCAGACTCGGGAAAAGTCCTGAAAAGTGACAAGAACTTTGTAGACTGAATTAAGAAACAAAGCATATGGCATATACAATATCACTGAAAAGTATTAAAAATAAAATGTGGTCAGAATGCTATATGTACCTCTGGGTGGAGTTAGTTCAATCATGTTAATTTCACAGAAACCAACAGGGAAAATAGAAGGGGAAGTGGCATGGTAACAAAACCAATCAGACCCATCTGCTGCTTCTGAGCCATCAATCCCAATCATAAGATAGCCATCTGCTAAAACCTTTGTAAAGAAAAACAAAATTTTACATTAAATTCCTTTAACTGTGTGATAAGGCTAGAAAGAAAGCATGCCATGTTTCAAAAGAGTGAATATAACTGAATAATAATGGAAGTAATTATTAGGACATTCATTTAAAACAAAACAAAAAACCCAAGTCATATCTGTCTCCAAGATTTTATATGTACTATTGTCACATGTACCTTAGCTAACTGCAAAACTGGGAGGGGAAAATTTCCTTTTTCTTATTTCTAGGTTTTTTTTTTTTTTTGTGAACATGAGTTACCCTTTTTAAGCTTTATAGTTCAGTTTACCCTTTATCTTGTAAGGATAGTCCACACAACATAAATAAGAAAAGAAAAAAAAAAAAAACAAAATAACAACCTTACTCATTGGTAAGGTTATGCTAGGCTGCTAAGCTATTTTTTACATTTTCTTCCCGTTTTAAACCAGATTTCACATGTTTGGCGCCCCTTTCAGCTCAAAAAAAAAGTACATCCCTAAAATATAAAAATCTTCACTGACTTCCATAGCTATTTTTTTAATACCCGTTTTAAACCAGATTTCACATGGATGGCGCCCCTTTCAGCTCAAAAAAAAAAGTACATCCTTAAAATATAAAAATCTTCACTGACTTCCGCAAGTAAGCAAGATGAGGTTTTCTTAACAGGGTTGCAGAATAGTTGGGATAATTATCAGAAGATTGTCCTGCAAATCAATCTCACAAGCATGTTATTTCCTAATTAATGGTATTATCAAATTTCCAGACATTAAAATCAAAATTAAAATTTACATGAGTTTTTTTTTAATATTACTTGTATAGAACTAATTAATGGGAGGATTCAGTAAACATTCAAGGTGTGAATGAACTGCATTTTATTTTCTTTTTGAGTTTTTCCTTATGTTTCAAAACTGAATAAAGGTGAGTTGAAAAATGGATTCATGTCTACCTTCCCAAAATAAACATTTACTTTCTTACCTTTCTAATAGTTGCCACACATATTGCTGAAAGGTTTAAAGGGTCTATAGCTTCCAATTTCATTCCTTCTTTAAACCACTCCCCAGCTGTGTCAACCTCTTTTACCTAAAGAATGAGATAAGAGCACCAGAAGCTAAGAATCTCGTGAGCCTAGAACAATGCCTAACCATATACTATCGAAGCAAAAAGACCGAAATACCTGTCATATAAGCTCTTCTCATATTAAGGAGCCCAAGTTAGTTAAGTATATGAATAAAAAAAGCAATGCTTATTCCGGGCATATTTCCAGGAAGTAGAGTTTCAGCTCTGTTTCACACACACCAGGAATTAAAGCTCCTCAATCAGCTCCGAGGAAACAGTGTTCTTGCTAGCAAACTTACCTTCATAAATAAGTGTGGGGGTGCATCAAAATGTCCCTCTTGTTTCTTTGTAATATCTACAAGGAATAACGGTACACACTAGTCAGAGCTAGAACTAGTTTGTTAATGGAAAAGACAGTACGTTTTTCTAAATAAGTTATCTAGTACTACACTAGTATACACTAGTATCGTGGCAGGCTCACAGCTTATAAGACTACCAGAAAAATCTAGTGAACAAATTCCACTTGTTTTCCTTGTTTATTTCTACCTGAAATACTTTTATAACACAATCTCATTTATGAGGAAAAAATCCAGTATTCCCAAGACTGCTTGATTATGTCCTAAAATTGCTATTAAGATTGCTATTAAGACATGTAAGCCTCTGCCAAAGCTTGCAAGTAAAACGTTTTGCACGCTCTTCTATGCTATGATAGAAAATGAACAGTAAAAGACATAACTTTAAGGGTTAAAATAATTCAGTACTGATTTCCTTCTGTAATTTATGCTCTTCATTGCCTTTTTTTTAGGCTAGAAGTTCTTGTCTTTTGAACTCATGTCTCCAAAATGTAATCATCTCACAGCCCAGCAGGCTCTGTAGCAGGGATGTATATTTTAATACATTTTATATATACCTATGCTTATATTCTGTATACCTTTTTGCAGCCAACTGTTGAATCCTACTTTCCAAGGTGAATCCCTGAAACTCTCTTAAAGATTTTACATCACTTCCGGGAGGCAGCACTGCTCCTAATTTCTTTAACTACTCCTATTTATAAACAGTTTCAGTGGAAATTTTCAAGTACCAGAATAAATGCCCTGAAGGCATGACTTGGGCAAGGTTTTACAGAAATTCTATTACTGACAAGGGAGACATAGGCTCAACAGAACAGAGAAAGATTCAAAAAGAGATTGGAGAGAGATTTTATTTTCCAGAATCCCTAAAACAATCTGTTAACTGCTGTTTATGGTTATGAGTCTTTCCAGATGCCGACATACTACAGTCCAAGTAAAATTTAATCCAGCTTTTCCAATGCTGTAAGAAACACTAATTATACTTTTAATTGAAACTCTAGAATGGCTTTATATTTTGGCAAAACCTCTGAGTCTCATTATATGAGCTTTTAAAAAATAATTACTCTATTTTTTATTAATCATATAAAGTGACAGTATGGCTTAAGTTAGGCTTCACTCAGACAACGCTGCCCACAAAGACCCCTCTGAAACACCACAAGCTTACCAGATCGTTTGAATCTATGTCCTATACTTCGAGACCAACCAATGTGATGAATGAGCGGACTGTACATATGGCACCAGAAGTCATCAGTTTTGTCTTCGCTTTCTTCATACACCAATCTTAACCGTCCTCCAATGACACTCTCTACAACTGCTACCCGTGTTCGACAAAGGTGTGTTTTGTCAACAACTTCTACTCTCATGGAAGTTTTGAATGGATACTGCATACTCTCAGACACCTTAAAATAACAGAAAACAAATCCAACATTCTGTAAAAATATATTCTGTTTTTGCCTAGTCATTTGTCTTCTGCTACCAACGTACTTTTCGTTTAATTCAATTACTTGTTAATCCACTTGCAAAAGCGACACAAATGCTTTCTATTTTATTGTACATGTGACAAAATGAAACGTTTCACAAAACTAACCGTAGAATAGATCCTACAATAGTATAAACAACTCACACAGGCTAAAGGAATTTGCCATTGATTTAATGAAAGTTTGTTCAGTGAACAACAATGGATAAAATTACCTTGAGAAACAATTATTTTTAACGATAAACAAAGACAAAAAAAGTTTTGTTTGCCATCCACTCAAAATATAGCACTTTAAAAATAGGTTTAAAATACTTTATTATAAAAGGCATGGAAAATAATACTTGAGCATAATTAAAGCTAACCACTCACAAGCATATTTCTTCATAATACCAAGGAGGAAAGAAAATAAAGGAAATAGATATTTATCTGCCTTGTGACAATATATTCTTTTTAAAAAAGCTTTAAAGTAAACTCAGTATCTATCATTTGCCATTTCCATTATGAACTCCCCCAGTGTTTAGATCTGGCAAATTTGATTTGGCTTCCAACTGAGCCAAGTTTTAAATAGAAATAAACATTTGCAGAAAAAAAATTGGAATACTAGCGTGCAGTGCAAGACAACAATACAGTACTCCTTATATTCCTATTAAAATTTATGTACCATCTCGCAACATTAATAAACAAACTCGCAGCATACTATACAGACAGATGCCATACAAGATTCAGCAAAGACAGTAAAAAAAAAAAATTAGCCTAAAGCAAACAGAAATATTATTATTTAAAATTAGATACTTTATTACATCTAGATATATGCTGTATTAACAAATTTTGTTTAGTTCCTCGAGACAACACATGATAAAAATCATTCCTGAATTAGCAAGATTAGTTTTACTTTTTCCTTAACAACTATCATTGGGTATCTTATTAGCACTTTTTTTTTTTTTTAAATTGAGGCTATTTTTATTTCAAAATTGGCTAACTAGTTTTTTAAAGAAAAATGCTTTCTTTCAAAGAAAAGAGTTTTCCAAATGGCATCATATACTGACAAGTGCAGAGATACATGGAAAAATAGAGATTCCAGGGAAAACTGTATTAAGAGAAGAAACTACTGTACCCTCTTCACTGTAAAAAGGGGCTAATGTGCCATTGTAAAATATTTCAGCTCTTCACACTGTGTTGCAATTTTGTTTATAGTACATTATTGATATTGCATCAGCCTTACCTTCTGAGAAAAGTCAGGAGGAAGTGTTTTGGCACCAGTAAGTCGTTTCACTAGAAAAGCTTTCCAGTTTGTGTATTTGTGTTGGATGGCTGTTGCAAATGAAGGGGAAAAAATAAGCCACTGATTTTTAAATGTGTCCATTAGAGACAATGTTATAGTCTGGAATATGTAAAGAAGAAATCCTAGATGATTGTTAAAAAGCCTGGATGAAAATAATGACAAAATCTCTTTAGAGAATGAATGCTACCCCAGTTTAAATTCATGTGTATGTTAGGGCAAAGAATCTAATGACAAAATATAAATAAGACCAGCGCATGTTTATATCACTGATTAGCCTAACTGCTTCCACCTTGATATAGCAGGGGCTACTCCAAGAAACACTTTTAGCATGAGTCAAGTCCTTATTTTTTCCAATCATTAACATGATTTATTCATAGCTGTTGAAAGAGTGGCTATAGTAAAAAAAAATACTTTGATATCCAAATCATAAGCAAATTTAGTTAAATGAAAAAAAAAGACTTTTTAATCATCTCAATCAGTACTGCTAATATTTACATACATCGAGGAGGGACTAGGGGCTTCCCACTGGTTGCACACCAACCAACTGGGTGGATGTCAGACCCACAAACGTTGCACCAGAAGTCAAGACCTGAATCGTTTTCAAAGCCTTCGTATCTTAGCAGAGCATTGTAGCCTGAAAGAAAGCAAGCCCGTTTTAAAAAATACAAAATTAAGCAAGGCTATAAATCTGTTGAAATTTCTCTACTAATCATAACGTATACTGATATTTTAAAGCAAGCAGGAAAACACCTGTTTTCTTGAGGCATGTAATTCACATACATACATAATGAGATACAGAGGGTTCATTAGGGTTCACAGTGCCCACGATTTGAATTTATTAAATAACTTCAGTTTTTCCAGGCTAAAACCTTCATTAGAATTTCATTCTTAAGGCACAGTGCTGCATGTTATCAATGCACAGAATGGATTACTTTGACAAACGTGCATGTGCTATCGCAAAAGACAAATATATTTTAACTATAATTAAAATTATTGTACTATAAACCTTTAGAAGTTATACGTGGAAAGACACAGTTAATTCTTTCATTTATGTCATAGTCTCTGCTTTGTCATATTTTAGCTATGCAACCTTTAATTTTTAACTTTGCTTTTAACCAAGAAAAGTGATTGGTATAACAAGGCTTACTGTACAACTTCTTACCTCCTCATCCTGCGTTTCTCTTAATGAGCTCAGTAACACTACAAAAACCAGATATTTTTAATGCCCACTGAAGCCACTGCAAAACAGCATAACCTAGACAGCACCTTGAAAGTGATACAGCTTCCTAGTTATACAGCTCTGACAACTTAAAAAAGATCAACATTCTACTCCCCCGGTCAACAGTCACTAAGTTATTAGCTCCTTTCACACAGTTGCTTAGATTTTTTTTTTTTTTTTAAAGAATTTCAACTAAAATATATTCACCTGCTAATTTTACAATTCCAGCTATCCAGAAGACTTTGGTAGGTAGGCTGCAGTCTGTGTTTGGAACCTCCACTCGCACTCCTTCCGAGATGTCACCCCAGCACGTCCCCATAGGTGCCTGTCATTTAAGGTAGGGGAAAAAAAAATGACTGGTTCACCACTCCGTTTACTCCACATGGAAATAACTTTTTGTTACATTGGTGCTTTACGAGTGACTTTCCAAAAATAGACAAAAATCCATATAACATGATAGACAAACATATGTTTAGAAAATGGTCTTTCTGAAAACCTTGTTTGGTTTTGAACTGCAGTTTACGTGCACTGTTTATATACAACTATTATTGCTTATCTCCTGCAACAACGGTAGGATTCCAAGTTTAAACATCTGTAAAGCACAAGCAGAAATTATATATACTCAGAGGTCAGCATTATTCCATGGTGTTTCAACTAGAGGCTAGCCACCGATTTCAGTGAGAACTGTATAATTCTCTCACAATTCTACTTGCAAGGAAATTGCAGTACTTAATTTATACCTTTGTCACAGACATCAAAATCTAGTACACGCTCTGTAAATCAGTAACTCGCCTGAAAATGCTTAAGAGTTATTCCTGGAATGTATTCTGAAGATTTATTAGGAGGGGGTTTGTCTTCCACAGGCTTACATCCTCTCAGAGGAACAGGCCTTCATATCATCTGCAAGTGATCACTTTATCAAGCAAACAAGAAGTCTGAGTTGCATCTTTCTAACAAAAGCCCCAGGGAAACACACAGCTAGATTCCTCACGCACTGTTCTGAAAGCTTAGACTAATGTTTTAGTAACAAGAAGAAATACAAGCCTGGTGAACTCTTAAGGATTTTAGGAAACTGGAGATAAAATTACATCTAGTTTGGTATCTCAGCAAGAATTTTTTGTCGGGCAGAACATCACGAAAAGATAGTTAAAGATGGTATTGTAGAGATATCAGAAGCGTGCAGTGCTGAAGAATCTAAATCCTTAGAATTTACCCAGCTAAAGTTATCCTCAAAAAAATCAAAAATGAGCAAGTCTAATTTAAACTAGAGACCACAAACAAGGGAAAGATTCAAATTTTAGGTATTTTTAGAACAATGGTGATATCAACTCTACATAAGAGAAATAAATTCTGATCAGTTCAGAGAGCATTCAGATACCATGGGGACAGCTGAAGGGATCCTCCGATTCTGTATCGTAACAGGTAGACAATATACTAAGGCTGTGTCCGATTTACAAGGCTCTTTTCAAACACAGGTAATTTAAATAGGTCACCGGAAATAGCCTCCAACTTCTCAGAATTTTGGTGGTGAGCCACAAGGGAAGAAAAGTCAGATTAATTCTGAATGATTGGAAATTACAACGCTGGAAGTTTGCTGGCCATTAGCAATGGCCAACTAGCAGCAGTAAACACCAAATTTATCTTAAAAGGGGATACCCTTCACTAGTGAGAATATATGACGCCACGCAACAAGCGTTAGCCATTAAAGAAAAAAAGTAAGTCCACTGCAAGTATGCCAGTTTCTTATTCTTGAAGCCTGGTCTCTTCACGTTCTGCTATGTCCCATCTACACCAGTCTAGAATGTAGAGCTCTTTTCTGCCATTTGGCAGACAGAGGGAAAAAACAACTTGAAAGATGACTTATTTTCACACACAAAATATGCAGATATAGCATCTTAATGAAGTCCTATTACATATTCACTATCATCTCTAAATTGACATTTGTAGCTTTTTGGATTGAAATGGAAGAATAAGCTTTTCAAACTGCCTGTCTTAGTAACTCTTGTTGCCTCGTGCAGAGATACAGATGAGTCCACACAATCAAAAATAGCAGTGCTGAACAACCTCACAATCCAGCTGCACGTCATCAAAATATATTTTACTGCCTGCTTATCTATTCAGTCGATCCAGAGAGAAAAGTGTATCAAAGCACTTCTCTTTCCATGATAATGGAATTGCTACAAATATTTTTATTTCTAGAACATGGATTGGTATAGAGGGAAATAGCAGAAAGCTAAATTTGTCCTTGTCTGTGAAAATATTGGTTCTGCTAGTTTCTCCTACACCAATCCACATGGCTCACCCTTTAGAAGAAGGAAGCCATCCTGGGTAGCATTTCTACTGAAAAGCCAGGTATCATTACTGTCCTGAAACGGTGGTTTACAGTATACCTGATATACTGTATATCTTTTCCTTTTCCACTCCTTATGAAAATTCTTAAAGGAGGAAGACTGGATAAAGCAGGGCTTTAACAGCCACGTTCCTTCATGTCTTCTCTGTCTTCATGTGATTAATCAATGTTTGCACAGTGCTTTGAAAAGCTCATAAAGCACTATGTAAGTGTGAAGACTTATTCATGTGCTGGCTAGAAGGGTAACTCTGAAGTCTGGATTGGCATAGTACGAACTAGCAGAACCATAATTTACAGGTAAGAACAAATTTACCTTTCAGACTCATGACGAAGAGATCCGCTTCAGGTTACTCCCAAACAAGGAAGATCTGGTTCATCGCTTCCTGAGCCAGGAGATGACTTGGGAGGGTTTATCTGTGAGCGGCAGCTGCCTTCTCTGCAAGGTACGTTGCAATCAGGATGGTCCTGTTTGACAGGGTTTGACAGGAACGCCTAAAGGCTAAGTGTCTCCACTTGGCTGCCTAGCTGAACAAAGAACTTGTGGGTGAAATAACTTATTTCTAAAGGCTTTGGATGGCACTGACAGTGCTCCGATTTCAGATATGTTAACTTCAGTCAAGCATTTAATAGCAAAGAGATGTTACCAATTCCTGAACTATAAGTATACTATGCTATTAGCTTGTGTGTAAATAGCTCCCACCTACAGGGTAACACCAGAGAAGACAATGGGAAAAAGGAGTTAAAAAGAAAATCGGGGCAAAGCACTGCCACCTAGTGTAAAATCCTGGAAACATTCCCTTAGAGCAAAGGGAATTTAGAAGTGTTTTATAACAAAAGAAACAAAGAGAATACAATATTTCAGCTCAGAATAAAATTCAACTGGAAGAAAGACTGAAAAAAATGCACAGCTTCAGAAAAACGTGCATCTCATTCACTACAGGTGCAAAAGAATTATTAATTCTTAATACTATTAATCATATACTTTTAGTTGTACATTAAGTACAGACAAAAGAAAGTACTGTACTTCCTTTCATTACTAGGAACAATTTGAGCTAACAAAACCAAATACAGAAAAAAGAAGAAAAAATTTAGAAGAAAAAATGAAACAGGAATGCTAGTTAATAACGAAGATCACAAATAGAGCATGTTGTATGTTATTAAACCGTTACAAAATTGTAAATATCAACTTGATTAAATCAAATTAGAGCTTTCCTCCATAATCAGACACACATCACCAGCTCTCATAATGCAATTCAGCAGTTAAGGAAAAAAAAGAGGCAAGGTGCACAGACTGCAATTCCGGGTCTGCCATAGGCTTGCTATATGACATGAAGCAACGCAGCTTCTCTCTTTGCACTTCAGTATATGAACTTCTGAGCGGGCATAATTGCACCGAATAGTGCAGCTAGTGAGTTTGATTCGTGTCATTCAACACTCTACATTTGAAATGAGGGTACCATGGATGCCACATTAAAAGCATCAGAACACTTTGCAATTAATTAGAGACAGAGAGAGAATTTCAAGACTTAAACATTTCTGTTTCAAAGTGCGTCTGCTTTAAAATTGAGGAGGAAATAATTCCCCACATTAGGCAAAAAACTAGGTGAACTGGGAAAATTAGACACAGACCTGAAACACTGAAATCTGCCGTGTTATAGAAAGCCAAGTGAGCCAAATCCCACATCTTAAAATCCTCTTACGTTTTCTTTAATATTGCTCCCAATGTTCTCTGTCAAATATCTATGCAGATACAGCCAGTGTAACCAGGTACACATTTACCTAACAAACAAATTTAAGGGCACGTAAATAGTTATCTTACTCCACTGACAAAGTCTAACCTGTACTATCAGTTCTACACCTGTATTTTGAACAGGGTAAGCTTCATGTATTCGATCTTGTGGACACACATAACACGTGCATGAAATTCATAATATGAATGATAAACAAACTTCAACACCGTTTTACAAATCAAGCAATATAGTACACATAAAACATAGCAATAAGCTTTCCAGACAGACAAAAAGAAAATCGCTTCTTTTTGAGGGACAGAGAGAGTGGGAGAGGGCAAAAGAGAAGGATCTAAAAAGAAGAGATAACTAATGTGTTTTCAGATTCTGAATAGTTTAAATAATTTATTTTTGAAGAAATAATTATAGTAACGTTAAATGTAAATCACACCATCATAACACTAAATAATATCCACTGCAGAAGTGGAAACCTCCAAAGGAGACTTCAGGAGTAACAATACACTTTTATAAAGAAGGAGAGCAGGGAGAGAAAAGAAACAAGACTCAGATTTAATAGCACTATTGCCATGTTGCTTGCAAAAATTTTCAAGGTAAAATATGAACGTTAGTATTATATCTGTTCATGTTACTGATGTACTATTCAACTTAATGAATGAGACAGTAAGAAAACAAGATATAACTCCTTTTAATACGGAATGTTATAATATAGAATATAAGTGACATACTTATTGCATCTGTGTCCTAATTAAGTACATCAAACACCATGAAGCATTTGCTATAATAGCACAGTCATCTTATCAAACAAGATCTTTTGGTATGTACTTAAGAAATTATTTGTTATAACACATACATAATTCTGAAAGCAAAGTGCAAACATGCTTATTTAAGCACGTGGAATTCAGTACAAATTCACAAAGCTATACTAACGCAGGGCTCTGTTCTCAGCAATCGTAAGGCCTCTAAGCATAAAGGGTGCTATTCAGAAAGTGCCAACTGCCAAGGGCCCTCAGCTCCTACTGATTTATGAGCTGACAGGGCTCAGCACGAATTCCAGAACTCACCAAAAATAAATTTCTCTTCTCTCTTATGGGCAACTTCTATGAAACAAAATGTTTATTTCTAATGTAATTTTCAGCAGATAATTTTGAACAAAATAAAACTTTTGTAAGAAGCTGAAACACTTCAGCTTTCCAAATAGAAAAGGAAAGTACTTGAAAAACCAGACTCTCTGTATGAAAGTTCGTACTTAATCTAAGAGACAATTTTACATCCAAGTACTGGCAATATTTTAAATAAGATCTAAAAAAGAAATGGATCTTAACAAGCACATTAAAGACAGATGCTGCTAAGTATTTTCCTCATCCCCTAGCTGAATTCTGTGAAGACTGAAGACTTTTCGTGTGGAATTTTCATAACACTAATATAAAGAAGAAAATCAACTTTTAAAATTTCAGATTTATAAAAAGCCTTAATTTTCCTCCATTTCCATACCACCTAGCAGGACAACTGATAGGGAGAATCTGACCAAAAATTAAGATGAAAAGATCCAGAATCCAAACATGTGACTGGAAGATCAGTTCTACATACTGGAGCAAGTCTCATTTAATCTAGTCTTTTGTAACTTCATCTGGTATTGCATGAGCTGGTCAGTTTGATACATACTCTATAACGTATTGCATGATTTTTTGCATTGAATGTGGGGAAAAAACTTCACAAGTGCTTAAAAGTATCCTTCTTTTACTTTTTTTTTTGTTAACTAAAGCATGTATGATGAGCAACTGAGGGCGTTCAGAACGGTTTTAAAGGACAAAATAAAGCATACGTATTTAGCTTAAAAGTAGTCATACTAAGAGTTTACGATGTAAGCCATTTCCAAAGTTATGAAGCGTGTTTTAAATATGAACGTATTGCAAAAATGAATCAAAGTATTAATCACTGTGTTTTTTCCCCAATTAAATAATAATTTAAAAAAATCACTCACTCACTCTCTCACATACACACAGAATAAACATACTGAAAAATACTTACATGTTTAAAACACGTAACAGGAGCTGCTGTAAAGCTATTGCTATTGATGTAGTTGCCCCAGCTGAAACCTTCCACAGGGACAGCTGCTAAGAGAAAGTTATTTTATTTAGGAAACTGCTAATGAACCACAAATCTTGCACTACCAAGAATTTGTTTTAGCTCCGTTTGTATGCCATTACCTGCTTTAGTCTTTGCCTGGTTTTGTAAAGTTGCTTGATACTGAGCATATGCTGCTAATTTAGCCACTAAGGGTTGTTTTTGTAGAACTTTAGCCTTCTTTGTTGGAGGTTTACCCTAAAACAAAAAAGCTAAGTAAATAAAGTCTTTCCAAACTCCCACCAGAAATGTTTCCAAACTCCCACCAGAAACGTCTGTAGGTCTGTGGCATATTCCTCATGCTATCTTGCAAAAATCACTGTAAAAAAGAAAAACTATAAAATCCATTTTCAAAATAATCTATCAAACATTTTTTCCTGGCATACATAACTCTTAAAATTGGAACAACACAGAATGGAAGTTGACTAATACCACAGTCACAAAGCCACAAGCAATATTAAAGAAACTTAAACACACACCAAAAACAGTATCAAGAGAATGTCCAAAAGATTACTTTTGTACCAGTATTCCAACTTGAAGAGCATACTGATTCAGCTGTTCTTTATCTGAAAAAAAATATATCTTCTAAAAGCCGGTTAAAAGGAAGAATCTTTAATCTAATTCATACCAATGCAATTTCATGGCATTGGTTGCACACAGCGCTGAGATACGATATAATTGTATTTCCTGAACTTCCATTTCTTCCCTTGAATGTTACAAAATACACTTTTATGATTAGTTGACTAATATGCTAAATGAATAGATCAAAACCTGTTTTGTAAATCTAACAGTTACTTAAGAAAACCCTCAAAAACAAAAGACAGAGAGCATAAAGGTTTCTTTAGCATTGCTAAAGAGAGAAAGCATCTTGGGGGTGAAATACATGGGTTTTCAAATGACTACATATCTAGATTGAAGATGTTTCTTTTTCTTGCAGATGCAAATGGGCCACTACAGCAAAATTAAATAAGGAGTCAGTATTCTCTATAATTTGCTCTGCTGAGCAAAGGAATTTGTTCAATGATACAATTTTGAGTTTTACCTTACAAGATTATTTATGTGAGAATTTTAATATTTTCTTAAGAAATTCGGTTTAGTTATTTTAAAATATTGCATTGCATTTAACTTTGACCAAATGGACACATTTTACAAACACAGACTATGATAAGTATATAAAGAAAATGGTTTCTGTACCGCTACCTGAAGCCTGGCCAGAATGCTGGCCTTCTTGGAGTTCGATGAATAGCTTCTAGAGCATGACACACTGCAGAAGCGTTTTGTCTTAGAGTAAAAAGCATCGCGGACGCCAACCATTCCACACATCTCACATGTAGCTAATCAGAGGAGAGAAAGGACAAAATGTTAAAAGTGTAATAAGGACTTCAGCAGAATTCAGAACAAAGATGACATGATAAAGGTCCTGTAGGTGGCACCACCAAGCCAAGCAGTTTCTTAGGGTTTGACCCTGAAGAGAATTACACAGAAAAATAACTTAAAACAAGAACAATTCCACTGATGTCAGTGCAACTCTATGAACCTCAAGTTCATAAGTGAAATAGTCTCTTCTTTCTTTTCCCTATTAATTTTACCATGGCTAGAAGTGAACAAACCAGCCAAGCCAGCTACAGCCAATTTCTGTATTTTCATGGTTCTTCTCAAAAGAAATATCTGCTTTGAATCTAGGCCTGCCAATCCAGATTTCCAAAGTGAAATAAAACCAGACATCTGTTGTGAACCAAAAAATTAATCTGTCCAAAGTACCCTAAGCCCATCAATATCCTTATCTACCTGTAATCATATGTTTCGTAAGTTGACAGCATCTCCCACTGAGTTCTTCTACACTGAATAAAACGGAGTTTGCGACCCGCTTACGCCAATGAGACAATACCAAGAGTCTACCCAGAGAGAGCTCTATTAATTAGTACCAACCCTGGCCAAAATATTTTTTCCATGATGGTAAAAACAATCTTCATTTTTTTTCCCAGAATACTCTAGTTCATAGCCAGTGCATATTGAACAGGTATACACTGACAGACTTTAAGAAGCAGTGGTAATAAAGTTTTGCTAGTATAGAAAGAAATTTATCTTTATATATTTCACATACATTATAAAGAATAGAGAGAATACACTGACTTTTTCCTCACAGCGCAAAAGCCAAAAAGAATGTACGTGAGGACACGCATATATGTGTGCATATATACAACAAATATTTGATGGGGGGAATTAGAATTCTATCTTATTTGGAGTTTAGCAAAAATAAAAAACAAACAAACAAACAAAAATCATACACGCACACACAACCACCCCACTACCACTCTCAGCTGCTTTGCCTAACATTTGGGTTTGGATCCACACAAATCATAAGGTATGCTGAAAAACATACATGGCAAAGTCTTTGTACCCATGTACTTACCCATGCCAGATTTACCATCTGGATAAGTATAGACCTGTCCATTATTCTTTATGATTGGGAGACTGGATGGCAAAGGAGCAACTTCTTCTTCGCTTTCATCTGAACTGGAGCTGCTGCTGGTGTCCTCACTACAACTATCATAACCGTCAAACATCCCGAATGAATCACGTCTTTTCCTTTCTGCTCGTGAAGTATGCTCTGTCTAAAAATTAGAAAAAACATACCACAAAACAAACAATAGCAGAGCATTCCAAAAGCAAAGATTTCAAAGACAAACTTGAAAAGTTTCAAGGGTCAAAACCAGCACACAAATATAACTGTATTACAAATCGGTGTCTGCTCTATCAACACAGAGATATGAACCACACATTGCCAATTAATGTGCTCAGTAGTAGTAGAGTCAAAAGTAGTCCACGTTTGGTATTGCAATATACAAGAAGAAAAATTTATCGCATGATCTGCTGAGAATATACAGTAGCAGTCCATACACTTCTTTTTCTTGGATCTTCAGAGTTAATTAATGCTGGTATGCAGAATAACGACAGCCACACAGAACTTGTATGCAAGTGGGCATATTCCAGATGGCTGCAGCCAATTTCACTAAAATTCATTAATCTGAGAAAGCTCTGCAGAGAAAGGACAGTTCAAAGATGAAGACACTATTCTAGGGGCAAGAAAATGAGAGTATAACCCCACTCCCACTGGTCTGTGGGGTTACAGATAAATCTCCTAGCTTCCCTATGATTCAGTTTCTCATGTGTGAAACAGGAGCACTTCTCTACCTCACATGGATGTTCTGAGGATTAATACATTAACAATTATGAAGAGCTCAGTTACTATGGCAATAGGGTCTGTATAAATGCTAAAAGATAGAAAGGTGACTAATTTGCTACTGACATATACCAAAAAAACCCATTACATAATAGTTTTCCTATAACCAAAAACCTGAGGTCAAGTGGAAACGTACAACTTTGAAGAACATGTAATAGTTAAGCAATTTCCAAAGACATTGAAGATGCATAAACAATAGATGAATAGAATAGTATTTTCTCTGATGCACGTTCAATATATGTATTTTAATACAGTGACTTTTTCACTTTAGTACTATTTTACACACCTCTTGAAACAAGGCTACTGCTAGATAACTAAGCTGCCTTCATTAAGCTAAATATATATACATATATATATATATATATATATATATTTGTTTTAAAGTATTTCCATCGTTCTTACCAATATCTATTTAGGCTGAGAGGAGTTAATAAATGAAGAGAAGACAAAGAAAGAAATGCTATCACAGAAGCACAAGTTAGGAGAATGAAATACAGCAAGAAACTGAAAAAGAAATATCAAGAAACAAACATCAACACCGTTTTACAAATCAAGCAATACAGCACACACAAAACATCTTTACCTCTACCTTTTTCCAAGAGCTAATTTTATTAAAAAATCATTGTGGACAGAAAAAAATAATATGTAATCAGACCTTTCCTTCTTAAATTGCATTTGGATTCATAGCTTTAAAGATTTCATCACAATAATTCCCCAAATCCCTTTCCTAGAGAGTATACGCCTGAACATCTTTATTGTTGGATCTCATCCGAGCCTTTTTCTGCCATGCTATCCCTTTATTATAATATTCTCTATTCTCCCTTGCAATCTGTCTAAATCCTATTACAGAAGGATTTCCTCATAGTCAAATGGGAAAACTCATTTCCTCACTGACCCAGTCTCAGCATCCAACTAAAAAACAATAAGCACAAAAATGAGGTAAACAAATTTAACACATTTAAAGTGTCTCTGAAACCTAAAAATGCCAACATAATGTTAATCATGCACACATTCCCTACCCAACAATTCAAAATTATATTAAAACTAACCAAAACTTAGGATAGGGTATAACTTGCGATCTCCTTGAAGCAACTGACATCTGCTTGAAGCAACTGGGATGACAGTTGCAATCATTAGAGGAAACATTGAATGATGGCAGAGCAAAACCAAGTCCTGACCCGCACTGCTAACAAGTCTTACCTGTATGCTACTACTGATATTATAAACCAACAAGATGCAAGATAAGTTATTTGTTTGTGTGTGCACGTGTGTGTAGATTAAGCTAGAAGTTGAACACAACGTTGCCATGGATACAGTGTTCTGCTACCAGTACCAATAATTTACAGATCAGAACACAAGCAAAAAGGCCAGTTGGCTCCCTCAGCATTTCATAAGCTTCATAACGTCTCACGATACTTAACTTTCACTGACCAGAGGATACAGCCTCTGCTATGCAATAAAATGCAATACCATATTAACCATTCATAACATTAATACCAAAATATCACGATGCCTCCTATATTAGTGGGGTTTTTGGAGTCTTACAAATAGTATCCTCTTCCTTGTTCACTCATTCTCTACAACTCAGCTGATCTATCTCAGTGAGAGAGCAGGACCTCATCTCGCATAAAGGAGGACTCAACCCTTTAGCACAGGCTGCAGTAGGAGATAGCGCTGGAAATTCCCTTTCTCACCGCAGACTAGAGAACTCTGGACCCACACAGCAATTCTGCTACACTCTACTGACCCACTTCATTGCTAGAGGTAGAAAAGCTACCTGCTCAGAGGAAGCAAGAGGAGCACAGCCCTTTCCCAGTCCCTCCAACCTCTAGAGCTGGAGCAGAGAAGCTCTGTAGCTGGGACTGCTCCCACTGCAAGGGAAAAGCGAACAGGGAACGGATGGATGGAGGCAAGAGGAACAGGCACAGAGGTCCAGTGGCGCAGAAAACAGATAGACTGCTCTAGGGAAGCTGAAGCAGGGCACAAGATTACTATTGCAGACATCACAACAGTACCTTTGACTCCTCTTTTTTTTTTTTTTTGGTTTTTCTCTGGCATCACATACATTTAGAACCTCAGTATTACGGGCAAGCCTTATTTGCCAAAACATCCACAGATGAGAAAACATCTCTCAAACTCTCAAAAGAGGTCTCATTTACTACCTTTCCATTAACTTTGTATTTGGACAAATTGTCCTAATTCAAGTTATGAGCAACTAAGAGAGTAGCTTTGTTTATTGTTTTTTAAAAATACTGTAGCTTTATAAAATGTTTTTATTCAAGCTTGTGCCAGAAAATGAGCATGTTTACTGGATAATTTACTTGGGACATTCTTAATATTAATTTATAGTTACCATACAGATTGCAATTCTTGGGAAATTACTCAAAATACATTTAATCAAACTTGAAAAAGGTATAGTTCTGCAACAGAAAAAACCCCCACAGACTTTGAAAACAAGAAGTACTTTGTGTGGAGAAGTAGGTGAAAGTTAGGGAAGGCAACATGTAAACACCTATGCTGAAATTTTGCTAGAGCAGACCAAAACGTTTCCAATTTGATAATGAACACCACTAAGGTTCTTTTCAACACAAGTGGAGAGACAACATTGGTAGAAACAAGTGAATAACTTGTGGAATCTCTGATAACACTGCCTGCAGAACTTAGGGGTCCTATTCCACTTGCAAAGCCTGTCCAGTGTGGAAACAGAAAAATGCGGGGGTACAGCTCAAGGGTCAGAAATTGCATCCTTACACAGAGGGCAAGACATGAAAAACCTACTCTAATATTTTGCTGCAAGACAGCAGAACCTGGCTCCCATGGAGTTCCTGTGGCCACTGCCTCAAGCAGAACGAAAACAGACAAGAGGCAGCTGCTTCCGTAAAAGCAGCAGCTTGCAACTCCTGCTGAGTTCTTACAAGTGATGTGCAGCAGCCTGCCTTATCAGCTGACTAGTAATAATTTGTCTGTCTGACACAGAAGCACCTAACCATGGCACCTGCAGCACCTCTAGGAACGGAAGTCTCAGAAGGAGCATCCTATTACTGTGCAGTACAGATGGTCCTACTGAATTTTGAGACATGCTGCTAATGAGAACACAGCCCTTCCCCCAGAAAGCAGTATCATAGCTAAAGCATGAAGGTGGCCTGCCAAAACCACAAAACTGGGGTTTACGACTATTAGCAGGAAGAGATTAAGCACAATTTTTACATTTACACACTTTAATCATCATCGTTTGATACAGCTTCTTTAAAAATTCCCTTGTTTTCCTACCAGAGACTAACAGTAGTAGTAACTTGCTCTAATAATTACATCACAGTAATGTCAATCCATACGATAATTCACAATGTATGCATACAAAGATAAAAAATGCTTTCTACTCTTAGAAGGATTTAGCACTAAAACCACACTGAGGAGATTGCCTTTCCCTCAAAACTGAATCAGACCAGTGTTCTTCACCTATTAACAGATGAGGGAATAGCATCCTGCCTGCCTGCAAAACAAGGTTTTGAGCAAGAGTCTGGCACACTGTAATACTTAGATCGGCGTAACTCTGGTCAATAGCAAAAGAGCAGTAGCTTAAGTAACTCTACTCCTAAAAGAAAATCTACTACTACATTAAGAAGAAGCAATACATGTAAATAAAAAAACAAAACAGGCCAAACTTTTAGGCATACCAGCTAAGGCTTATTTTCCTAATGAGATTACCGGTTCCTCAACAGGAAAGATTTTTAGACAGAACAATACAAAGTCTAGGGTAAGTGGGACTGGCAAATAAGCCTGTAGGACTATTTACCTAGGGTTTTTCTTGCATAGTTTTCTTTACTGAAGGGTTGGGTGGAGAAAGGAACTCTTAAGAACTGCTCTTTTATTCTGCCTGACTTCCCATTTTCCTGTTCCTCTCTGTTCTGTAAATACTTGGCAACAATGTATTTTTAAGAAATACTCTTAATTAACCATTACACAAGGTAAATGCTACGATAAAAGAATATAGTTAAGGAAAGCAGTTTCCCTAAAAATCACGAAAGCAACTCTAAATAGATACAATAAATAACTTGTTTCTCATTCCCTTAACTTACAGTGCTGTACAGACAGTTGAATTTGGTCAGCACATCATAGCAGATGTTCCTGGAGTGCAGTAACTGCTCTTTCACAATAAAAACTTGTTCAAGAAGAGTAAACAATGTATGGCCAAAACACAAAATAAAACAATTTAATGTTAATAAAACATCAAATACTTACTCAGGAAATTGCTTTAGTGTCTCGATGAAGACTACGCTCAAGTACTGGCAAAACTTTTGAGAAAATGTTTTGAAGGGGAGAACTTGTTAGAGAAAATACCCCATTACGCAGTAACTAAATTCCTTGCCTCCAAGTAAGCGCATCTTTGCCGAAGGAAGATGATACAAAAGGGTCATAGGAAGGTTTCAACCTGCTCAAAATGTTTATTGTTATTACTGAATCAATTTGGTACTTGAATTCAGAAAGGCAGCAAATTAGAATTTTGACAAAATACAAGAATGGCAGCTTAACAAAGGCCCACCAGCACCTATAAAGATAGGCAACGCATCACTTTCTACATTCAGAGGCAACCCCCAGAAACATGACAGGAGTATGGACAGATGGCATTGGAGGCCAAGATCAACAATGAGGTCATCATAAACTTCGAGTCAATTGTATGTGCTAAGATGTATTTACTTCAATCACACATCCTTATCAGATCATGCATTTCCCACAGCGTACTTCCAAGTTCATACCAAATTCGATGCACGGCCTTTGTTTTCAAAAGTTCATTAATGCTTTATGCTGCAAGTTTAGTTTTAGCTCTGTATTTCAACATTAAGACACCAAGAAGACAGAACTAATTCATTACAACTCTTCTGAACTTCACCTAGCCAAAATAATTTAGTGTAGTAATACTAGCTTGCCCCCTGTGGAACTGAAGAACTAATTGTGTCTCAGAGCATGACAAAAAAGGAAAATTCAAACACCATTTCAATTTTAAAGAAAACATACTTTCAATTTTCATTAAAAACAAACAAACAAAAAAACCCCAAACCTAAGTGTTTTGGGATTCCTGGAAATTAGAACCAACCAAACTTACTTTTTTATAGAAGCGACTCACCTCTATCTGGAAATGTGCCTTCCACTCTTATTACAAGTAAAATCTCAGCTGGAAAATTACAGAAATGTTTTTTCCTGTCTCTTCATTTGCTATGTATGACAGCATTTTGTCTGAAGCCAGTTTCTGCTGTTTGCCAATGGTTTTGTCCATAGCCTCTTCCCCAGGGGGTTTCACACAAGAGGGGAGACTCTTTTACAAAAAAATATATCAAATTAGCAGGCAATTTGGAGGGGGAAGGAGACGTAATATCTGAAATATCTGAGTTCTGAGAAAACTCAAGATGTGTTACAAATTCCATTATGCTTCTACAAAACCCTTGCACGCAGGAGTTATCTGGAAGACATGAAGTCTAGAAGTCAAATACTTGGTTTTAAACAATGCATTACCATTAAAAAAAATCAATTTATAGGTTAAAAAAAAAAACAAACCCAAACCCTGGAACACCTGAATTCCTTCTACGTGCCAAGTGCCAGATTCAGTAAAATATCACACTTGCCCAGCATGTACTGACTTACCTGAGAAACGAAGGTATGCAGTAGCAGTTTGCAGAAGGTATCAAGAACCTTGCAGAATTAAACCAAGTTTTAAAAGGTAAGAAAAATGAAAGCCAAGGGAACTTTTGTACATATTGTTGTCATTACTGCTACAGTCACGTAGTTCTTCTGAGAACCACAATGAAGAGAACCCTTGCTTTCAGCTGACAACCCTGTTGCACATGCACTATGCACTCTCAAGACCAAGATCTAAACTATTCTTTAGTGTAAACAATGACTTCCCGCTAAGAAAAAATACACCTCTGCTACGCTTTCCAATAACTTACACTACTCACTTACTCAAAACGATCCCTAGTTAGAAGCAACTAGTAAAGGCTACTGACCTACCAAGTTTGGTTTTTGTTTAAGAATATCATTGTTTTAGCTCCCATTTAATGTTCCAGATTAGACTTTCTCCTAAACTTATTATTCCATTCCTTACGGATCAAAATCAGGCTGTTATAAACGACTAAAAAAACTCCAAACAAATAAATACAGCATCTCCGACCTGGAAAATAGCCTTCATTTAAAACAGAGAAGACTACCCTGCAGCTTTCAAAGCCGCAACTAGTTTTAGAAGTTAAAAAATCACAAGGGCTGTCACCCACGTTTTAAAGTGTTATTTTAAAAGGAACTGCTTTCTCACACGCAGTAGCTTCTACCGTAATCAGCAGACGCTTTATAGGGCGATTCTTTTTTTTTTTTTTTTTAAAGTCACACTGGACAGAAATTCCTACAGTTTAAAACACTTCCACCGCCAACCTGAAAGCGAAACTGGTTTCACGAGTTTATTGCTCGCGTCCAGAACAAAGTCAAAACATCAACAAGCATAAAAAGGATATTGACGGGGCCACTGGCTGCAAAGAACCCGCCGCTTCTGAAGTGCCGGGACTAAAGAATACTCTAAAGCGCTTAAAGTGAACGCGACGGGCAGACTAAACCTTAAAAGCGGTTAAGGGCAAGAGGAAGTTACTGAGAAAAGCAGCGCTCCGACAGACCCCTCTGAGGACGCGTATCCCAGCGAGCCTGAAGCGCTCGCTACGAGACAGACCGAAACTTTTTGTTACTGGCT